CACATTATTTATTTGACATGTTTGCAGTCTAGTTTGTTATTTAAGAATATGAGCAAGGAAAATTTTCTACCACCTAAAGTCATGCCTCAGCTCCAGACAGAAAGAGTGCACGGTCCTTAAAGAGCTACCAGAGGTAAGTAGTGACCACCTCCCTGACGCAAGGCACAAACCCAAAGGGAAAGTGCTAAAAAGGAGGACTCTCTGTAAAGAAGGTACAGAAGTTACGTGGGGGAATTAGCAGAACTGGAGCTGGCAGTCACTAAAAGGAACAGAATAAAGGCAGCCGCTTAGGAGCACTGAGGAAATAGAAAGCAAGGGCTGGATCAGAAAGTACTCACTGTATACTGCTAAACTAGGGGCCAAAAAAAATTACTTGTAGTTGGAAGAAAATTAAAAGCAGAAAAATGCTGAAGCAACCAGTAAAAAGTAAGTATTGTTCAGGGAATAGGCTGCATCTTAGATAAACAAATAATTCAAAGCTTCATGATTCATTTATCCAGGTCCAGAAATGCATGTGGTAAAGAAGGAAATCCAGACCATTACTGTGGGCTTTACATTAGTGGATTATCATATTTTGAGGAACTGAGGCAAACAATTTTATTCAACTTCAGAAGACAAAAATTATTTATAGATTCAGCATAAATTACAACCTTCTATAATTAGCTGGCAGATACAATGACCTATAGTTCTTCTTCAAGATCTCACTGTCTTTTGACATTTTAAAACCAAAACACAACGCCCCCAATACACACACACATCAACCTTCTTGCATCACTTCTGAAGAGCACATTTGCAGTCTATCAGTAGTTTCATTTGTTAAGATCAAGTGAGGTGAAAGGCACCAATAGAACATTCTTTAAACCAGACTAGTAGCTTATCTTAGGTAAACACTCTGTCACACAGGAGAACAAACTACTTATATTTGTAAGGCCAGCATGTGGACATACTACGAAAAAGATTGAAAAAGAGCCCTAGATAAAACTATGCAAATACCTTTGTCCTTGTGTACCCTCTAGCGGCCGTCGAGGTTGTGCTGGCCTCACAGTAAGCAGGCAATTTCCTCAACCAGACAGAATCAGAGTGCTTCCCTCTGCAACATCTCTTTTAAAGAGATGGAGATTCATGAGATCAGGGTTCTGAGCAGGCAAAAGTATGGATTATTTGAAGTTTAAAGTTTACAACAAATTTTGCCTTGTTAGTTTAATGAAGTGAACCCAAGTTTTCCACTTAAAAAGTGCCAAGATACATCAAGCTATCCACATAGCAAGCATTCAGAGCATGTGCCTATGGTTTATGTGGTGTATGTACACGCTGCACACAAACTGTGGCAACATCAGTAAGTTAACCTGGGTATTACTCTTCCAGAAGTCCTCTCGGGTGGAAAAAAATCCAATACACAGGCTGCAGAGACTACGTAAGAGCCACCTATGTATGAAATAGCAGTTTCAGACTACTGTAATTAAAATAGAAATGGCTGTTTTGTCTGTACATGCTGAAGAAGTGGCTTACATCAGGGACAAAAACTGTCATCCAGCATAAGAACATTCTCCAAGCAAACAACTAATGTTTAATTTGGTTCAGCTTAAACAAACATAAATGACTGTATAACAGACATTTCAAATAAACCCACTAAAAATCTCCACCCCTCACACCCAAACTCTCCAATAAATAAAAGCAAAGGTCAGTACCCTAGTCAAGGTACGAAGTCCTCTCCATAACAGAAAAAACCTCAAGTCAATTCTCACTGCTACGATTTAGCAAAAGAATGTAAATTCATTCTACCGTACAGTGGACCACACAGCTGGTAAAACATGTAAATTAACAACAGTCAAAAAGAGAATATATACTACTTTTTCAAGAACTCTAGATGCAACAGCTAACTGCATCATTCAGCTAAAGATGGAAGTCATTAAACAATGTAAGAAGAAACACATTGAAAGCTGTTGAGCCTTCAACAAAACATTACAAAATTTGTGCAGGAGGGAAGTATTGTGAGGCCTCTCATGATGCTGTGCCATTATAAATGAGGTACTCAAATTATCAACATGATGAAGGCTAAGGGTGCAGAAATTGGACTAGATACCAACACCTATATATTGCAATAAAAAAAATCAAAACACTGTATTGAAATAATATGAGATAATGCACATTCAAGATGAAGACTTCACAAAGAACAGGATGCACACCACAGATGTACAACACGTAAGAAGTAAACCGAATCCCAGGCTACATGTACAACAGACATTACTTTTAATAAAAAGATTCTTTTTTCTTGAGTACAGCATATGGACAGAGCTGTCCAGTCAGTCCTGCAGATAACTGAAATAGTTTCCCTTCAGATACAGCAATTAAGTAGTCAGCAGGAAGAACGCTGGCTCTACTCGACATGGTAGGTGCAGGTGTTTTTTCTGTACCCCAGGTGTACATCAGAAAAAAAGCCATGTGATCATACAGTCTAACCAGCTCTTTGCTTATGCTATTCACCTGCATCATAGGTTCACAGGCAGCAATGCAAAAATCCCTCTTTCTGTGTGTTTACAGCTTGAGTTTAAGTCAGTCCTTTCTCCGTTTTGGAAGAGAAAACCTGAACAACTGTGTGGCCAGTCATTCATCCCCATGCCTGAGTTTTGCAATAATGCAGTACAAGCTTGCCATCACTTCCGAAACACTGCAAAAAAACCACAAAAAAAAACGAAGAGCTGTTACAATTATTCATGGGCTAATATACGCATGAAGCAAAACAAAGTCTTCCCAGATAAACATCAGATAAACATGTCATGGAATATTGTCATGAGAAAGCTCCCCATTACACGAGAGGCATAAGAACACACTGCACACGACAGAATGCATTTCCAGAGACTGCATGAAGTCACATCTCTCTGGACCCCATTCACACAGATCTGTGAATATCAACTGCACTACATTAAATGCAGGCTATTACTGCTAGGGGCAGTGAGAGATTTCAAGTGCCTGAGGTGTGCTGACAAATCCTGCTAAATGCTTTTGGAAAGGACATTTAGGATGAAAGTTACCTCATAGAGGGTCCCCACTTCTTGGTCTGGAGATGGAGCAAAAGACTGGTTTACATATATGAACTGCAAGAAAGTGAGAGAGGAGATGGAGATCACACAAGGACCCCTCTGGCAACACAGAAGAATCATTCTGTAGTCAAAAGTTCTGTTATAATCTTTAAGCATGTAACAGACTATGACCAGTTACTATCTTCACTTCAGCGTGGAGGAGCAACAGGACCATGAGGAGTCACCTGTCTGGCCAGCCAGACCAAGCCAAAGTAAATGTGCTGACTTCCTTTTCCTGCAAGCTGACCCACTACTGTCCCACACAGCTGCACATAATGGTTTAACTCTTGCTCTTATTTCAGCCCAAACCACTCATGCTATTCTAGATTTGCTCAATTAGAGAGTGACCAACACACAAACCAGAAACATCTTATTCTATTTTTGAGTCATCCTTCTCACTTCTTGCTCCAAAAAATGCATTTACACTATAGGAGCTAATCCCACATGACAAAGAGGGCCTTGGGATCTGCCGTGTGAGGCAGCAGTGCGTACTGGGGTATCGTGTGCTGTTTCCAAATAAAAGAAATAAAATTCCTAGTGCTTTGCTCTTGAAGTACAGCCTTAGGCTTCAGCCACACAGGAAGGCTGTGTTCCTGAAATAATGAGATGATAGTCACTGAATCAAACTGTTGAGAATGTCCTTAGTCAATATCATACTTATTACTCTTCTTTGAGATATTATACCATGGAAGAGCAGATCCCTCATGATTTCCAGGTGAATCAGAAGGCCAGTGCATTTATGCCTATATACTTAAATAGGATCCTCCAAACCAAGAACAGAATGAACTCAGCTACACTTTAGTTGACTACTTTAATGAGCCTAGCTTTAGCTGTATGTCTTCAATGAAAACTTCAGACTATATTGAGAGTTCACTGCAGAACAACAAAATCAGTGCAATTGTATTTCCAGCTCTTCCAGTGTTATCATGAGCCCACTTTGACTAGTCACTTCTGTAGGAAGGAACCCATAAATAACACTGGCAATCTGCTGCCCAAAGGCAAACACTTCCCAACTCACCGTTTTAAAAGCAAAATCAGTCCTATGATAGTAGCTAAACTATTTTAGATGTGAGCTCTGAAGGAAACAGACACTCAGATTCAGAACCTGGTCGCAAAACCTCTCGACTGGCTCTACAATACTCTGTCTCTATACCTAGTTCCACCAGGTACACGGTGCCTACCAATGTTTTCCCGGGACACACGGCTCACAGCGTGCACACAGCTCTGCCTGGCAGACACCAAGAAATACAGACACTGCAAAAAACCCAGACGTCAGTGCCGAGCATACCCACACTGCGCTGCAGCAGCTTGCTCAATATTACACACAACCTGGGGCCAACTTGGAATAGCTCTCTAGGTGCTCCTACTCCAAGTTTCCTGCAGGCAGCTGGAAAGCCTGGATCCCAACAGTCCTTGCAGGGTTTGACAACGTGGGCCCTGAGCGCTCAGCCCTCGCCCGCTGCCCGCCCGTACCAGCTGTTCGGAGGCCATCAGCTTGAGAAACTTCTTGATGAAGTCCACGAGGCCCTGGATGGTCCGGGTCCGCTCCACCGCCCACTTCTTGGTCCTCATGATGGGGGTGTCGCCCACGGCCTTCAGCAGCACGTCAACTGCGGGGAGCGCCGCGTCACGGCGGGCCCGCCCCCGCCGCTCATTGGCCCGCCCCGCCCGCCCGCGCCGCCCATTGGCCGCCGCGGCCGCGGCCCCGCCCTCCGGGGCCTCCTCCCCGCCGTCGCTCCGGCCGCCGCTCTGGGCCGCGGCGGGCGGCGGCTGCTCCTCGGGCTCCGCCATGATGCCGCTGCTGGGCGGACGGCGGGAAGTGACGCCACGCGAGGGGCAGCCTCTGCTCCGCGAGGCGTTTTGTCCCTCGTGGGACGCCGCCTTTCCCGTCACGTGACACGCCGGGAGCGTCACGTGCGGCGCGAGCCGTCCCGCCGGTCACGTGGTGCGCGCGCCCCGCTGGCAGCGGCCCGGGAGCGGGAGCGGGAGAGAGGAGCAAGGGAGGGAGCGGGACACAGCGGGACACAGCGCTGCTCGTCCGGCCGCCGCCCCACCATGATCAAAGCCATCCTCATCTTCAACAACCACGGCAAGCCGCGGCTGTCCAAGTTCTACCAGCGCTACGTACGGGCGGGCCGGGCGCGGCGGGCGGGCGGGCGGCAGGGCTGCACGGAGGGGCCCGGGCCGGCCCTGCGCCGCGCCCGGCAGGCTGCGGAGCAAGCGGTCCCGTTCTCCCTGGGAGCTGCCTTCAGGAGCCGCGGAGGGAGGGCTGGCGGAGCGGGGCAAGGGGCTCTCGCACAGAGCCGGTCCTTGCGGGAGGTCCCGGTGCGCTGTGAAGTTGCAGAGGACGTGGACACGTAACGAGCGGGAAAAGAGCATTCTTTTACGTGGTAGAAGGCAGGCAGCTCTGAAAATGCAGCATAAACTCTCAGTCTGATGGAAAGAAGATGCGCTGGAAACTCGTGATTTAGTTAAAGGACAAGCGATTTTAAGATATGGTGTGAGCGTACTGTATTTACTAGCAAATATGCTGAGGTCTACGTAGGCATTAAAAGACAAGAAAACAGTGGGCGTTTCTTAAAGTTACATAAACAAATAACTCGTTTTCTAGCAGTGCAGTTACTTGGATTTGTGGCCCTTTTCTTGCAGCTCTGATGATTAGAGAACTCATAGTTCATTGGAAAGGATGTATCTTACTTGCACACCTCAGAGCAGAAGTGCTGACTGTGACACCTCAGTTTGCACGGTCAGGTTTTGAATTAAAGGAGAGTAACTGGTGCAGTCCTTGTGTGTGACTGAAGTGGAAGGGAAAGGAGGTGAACAAATGGCCAGAGGATACCAGATTTTTCTCGTAAAACCATCCTGATCTCTTAGTTTCATAACTGGTGTTTAAACAAATTCTCAGGGCTTAAAGTAGGCTAATAAGTTTGTGTAAACAGAATGCTTTGAAGTTTTGAAAATGTGAGTAGCAGACTGAGAAACTTTCTGGTGCAGAGAAACCGGTGCAATCATTTAGATTGTATTTCTGTGTGTGATTTCAATAATGTGGATTTGTTTGTGGATGTTTTGAAGCTTTTGCATTCTTAAGTGTCAATTGAACTGGTACAGGAGGCAAATCTCAGCTTTTTTCTGTGAGGGGATGCATCTCCTGCTTTCTAGATCTTAAGTGTCAATTGAACTGGTACAGGAGGCAAATCTCAAATCTCAGCTTTTTTCTATGAGGGGATGCCTCTCCTGCTTTCTAGGGGGATTAATTCGGTCAGACCCGTGAAAGCAGTGCTTACTTCTTTCATGATACTGAAGCTTATAACATGGGTCTGACTTTTTCAGCTGATATATGTGAGAACATAAACTGCATAAAATGAAGTTAATATTTTGCAGTTAGGTAGAAAAACAATAATTTATGGCAATTAAAATACATGTCATCAGTTCGTCTTTCAGATTATGGACCCGTGGCCATAATTTCAAAGTTAAAGATTAAGTTTCTAAATAGCCAGAAGAATTCAGTCTCAGAAGAGATGTTTCTGATCTGCTAAGAGTTAAGGTCATGGTTTAGGAGAACCTGTTGCTCATGGTGCCCTTGTATTTTAGGGTATTTCTGGAAGTGTTACATGTTGTGCGATTTGAAGCTTCCCTGCTCTCTTTGAGCTTTGGGGCCTTTGTTTTCCTCTTGGTTTATGAATAAAATTAGTTCAGGCTACCTTGGAGATACAAAAAATTCAAGCTACTTGAGAGCACTTCTGGTTTACTTTAAAGCTTTACTCTTAGATTAATTTGTACTGAAGTTCCCAGTTTTCCACATTACTCAGTAATACCTTCTTCTGCAACTTGTAAATTATGGCTTTTTTGTGTTGAAATGCCCCAAATAATACATGTCTTGTTAGCTGGCAGATTTATGGCTTCAGAAGTAGATAGTTTGAGAGTGCTGATATACTTTGTGTTCTACAGTCTTGTGTGCTGTGCGTTGTCAGTCCTTTTTAGCAAAATATGTTTTCTTTCGCAGAGTGAAGATACGCAGCAACAAATTATCAGAGAAACTTTCCATTTAGTATCAAAACGTGATGAAAATGTCTGTAATTTTCTAGAAGGTGGACTGTAAGTATTAAGTTTGAAATAAATGCCCAAGTACTGGCTTTCGAGTAGTATTATTTCTGATTGCCTTACAGCTTTTCACAGCTGTAATGTAAATGCCATGCCACTTGAGACTTGTTGATGCACAAGGAATTAAATCATTCTGCTGCAAGTGTACATATTCTTCACTAACTGAAGCATAGCTATGTGTACCAAAATGTCTTAGGCAATAAATTTTTTTTCCTAGTGCTGTAATGGCCACAGTGCCATATCTAGTGCCATGATTATTTCAGATACAAGGATGGGGAAGGAAGAGGCAGATGTTGTGTTGCTATAATCAAGCTAAAGATTTCCGGTCACATTTTGAGAGGCATTGGCATTTGCCATTCCCACTGACTCACAGAATCACAGAATATTCTGAAGGGATCCACAAGGTGTCTGAAGTGAACAGCCTATACAGGAATCCACAGCCCAGTCTTGGTGTTTTTAGCACCATGCTCTGACCAACTGAGCTAAATATCTAGAAAATTAAATACTTTGGAACTGTTCTTTGGCTTGAACTCCTAAAATTTGAGCAGGCAGCCTTTCTAGTAGCGTTCTACAGCCTTTTTATCAGGATTTGGGCTTGCTATATGAACTAGGAAGAAAAAAAAAGTTTTAAATGTGCTAACTAGTACAGTTTCAACCAAGATATTTTGTTAATAAAGGAAAACTGAAGTAGGAGGAAAATGAGGCTTATGTGTTCTGTCTCTGTATGACACAAAATAAAACTCTTTAGAATCATCTTCATAGTTTTTGGAAGTCATCTTGCTTTATCTGAAGAAATTCTGAAATGGAGATGTTTTATTTTTGAGTATTTACTAGCCATCAAGAGTAAATAGATAAAAAAACCACCTTCTAGAAGAAGGAGTCAGAATTGGTGGAAAAAGCTCATGATCTCCAGTGTGGGACAGCGATTGTCATAGTCTGTTAAATATTATATTTATGGGAATTTCTGGTTATGGAAAGTTGGTCCTCTAACACTTAGATTTTCTGTGTGCAGAGTCAGTTAAATGCTTAGCTGTACCATATCAGCTAGGATATCTTTTTTCTTACTCAAAATTATTCCTGATTTTCTATATACTGTTTTTTAAATGTAAATTATTCTTTTCTGACTACTCAGCTGGTGATTCTATCATCAGGTTCTTGGGGATGATCTCAAGTTGGAAACATTCTGGCTTGAATTCTGTAAGTCAAAGGCAGAAGACATACGGAGCTTTTTAAAAATCGCAGCTGCTTAACAAGAATAAACTGAGACAGAGAACAGAATTCTGGCTTTCTTCCTACTGCTCAGTTACAGGGTTACCATTTCAATATTTTTTCAGTATTTTTTTCTTTCAGGACAAGGTTCACTTTATAGTTTGCAGTTAACCCAAAGGCCTCAACAGTTTATGTGTAGAAGTATGTGTACTTCAAGTATGAAGTAATTGAAAGAATTGGGTAAATATATGACAAAAAAAGAAACTTCAATTGCTAGGTATTTCCACTGTCCTATTTGTTTGTAATAGTGTTGTCTGATACATAAACACAATTCCTGCTCTTCAGAAGCAAAGGGTTCCCTTTCCCTACTCCCATCCCTGCTCTCTGCCAAGCATTAATACAGAGCAATGTGCCTAAACAAAAGAGACAGAAAAGGTATTAATTTTTTTTTAAATCTGTGTATTCTCTCCCTGTGATAATGACAGAAACTAAAGGGATGAGTTAATGTTGCACCAAATGGGTGATGCAGTTCTGGTACAGAATTAAGGAAGAATCACAATAGTCATGGCCATGTAGGTTCAGCCTAAAAAATACTTTTGTTTCTCTAGGAGTCGGCCTCTTACAGCTCAAAGCAAATGTCAGTGATCTGATGTAGATCTGTGCTTTATGTGCCTTTTTTTTGGAAGGCCATAGCAGAAGAGTGGAAGAACATACCTCTTTAGACCTCTTCTCATTCAGTGCCATGATGATTAGTGAGTCCATAAAAATATAATTGCTTCTGTGACTGTAACATTGCATCATAAACTATTGCTTGAAGTATGGTCCTACTTCTCAAAATGCCAAACATTTGCAGCACAGATGTTACATGTTCTTGGTTATTAAATGGATCTTAAAACTAATTTAAGGCTTTTTTATTAATCCAAATGCCAGTCTTCGTTACAGTTTGTTGGGTTTTTTTTCCATCTTGATGCTCTTCTGAGAAGGTGAGGAAAGGATTCATAGGCACACACTGTTAATCTGTAAAGCAGATTAATCCCTGTGCAGTGGCTGCCTGCTGGTGTGGAGTGGATTTAATACCTGCTTTTTTGTGATCTGTTTGAAATGATTTTAATAAAAATTGTGTACAGGTTGATGTTATATTTATTCATGTGGATAACAATAACTGCTTGTGTGGTAAATGTAAATTGACGTGTATTGTTACTTGGTCTTCTGTTGGAATTATATCACAAAATAAAAGTTGCAATACAGTTGTATTTAGGATAGCTCCAGCTGTTAATAATAGGCCTCCTATTAATTGAAATTACTGTGAGGATTTGCTCAGCTTAGACTGAGATGCTAACTAAGCTTTTCTTGTTTTATTTCCTCTTTAGATTAATAGGTGGATCTGATAACAAACTAATTTACCGACACTATGCCACCTTGTATTTTGTCTTCTGTGTGGATTCCTCAGAAAGTGAGCTTGGTATTTTAGACCTCATACAAGTAAGTTCTTTTTGCTGCTTTGTGGTTTGTTTTTTGTTTTGGTTTGTTTTTTTTTTCTTAATTACTGTAATTCAACTCTAAAGTAGCTTAGAACTTAAATATTTTGCTTGCCTTTTTTTGGTAATATTTGGAAGGTTGTTTTTATACTGTGAACATACCAAGAAGTGGTGTATTATTTTCAGATTGTTTACAGTTTTATACGCTGTCTTTGAAAAAGTTGTTGTCCAAGTTGATGGGAGAGTGAGGAAACTGTTGGGAGCCTCCTGAGCACAAACTATTTTTTGTTTTAGCTTTTCAAAACCTTTTTTGGCTGCAGGTAAAAATGGCGCAACATTTGCTATACAAGTGTAGATTCTGAGAACTTTAATAGGCAATGCTGTGTATGTATATTTATATATATTAATATATATCCAGACTTGCACACACATACATGCGTGCATATATATATACTCAGTATAAATGTATAATGCATAAATATGTCCAAAACGTCTTTGGATTAAAATTTCCTTGTGACATATGAGCTTTTTGGCAGGTATGCCTTAGAAAAGGAGGGCAAATGCTCCCCTAGGTATGTTTCCCCACCAGGGGAAGTGGGATGGGTAGGGTGAGGATTGGTCAGGAGGAAGATGATCCATAAGCCTATGTTCTTTATTTCAGTAGGAAAGGCTCAACAGCACAGATGGTTTAATAACATAACTGCTTAATAGAACAGAGTGAAAAGATGAGTGTAGGTGGTAAATTCTACAGCCCTTCAGGTTCTGGGCATGCCACCTTCATGTAGCACCTAGTGGAATCCAGGTGGGTTTTCCTAAAGTGCACAGGGCAGACAGATCCTGCGTATGGAGAGAAGCTTTCCCTCTTTTGAATCTGTGAGCTATTACATAATCTCCTCAAAGGAAAACAGCTCTTGCTAAAGGATGTTTTCAGGAGAACTTCTTGCTGCAGTTTGAAGTCACGGTGAGGCCATGCAGGTGGCATGCTCACTGGTACCATGTGGGAGCTGCCTGCAGGCTCCTCCATTATAGTGAGCTGGCTGAGTTTATCCCTTAACCAAGGAATTTCTGCAGCATGGCACAGGCCTCTGTGTCTATTCAGGCTGTGTTACGTGGATAACTAACGCCTAAACGTACAACAGTCTCTTAGAATCTGTACATTCCATTCCTACGGTTCATTTTTGCCAAGGACATCATAGGTTATAGACTGTTTTAAAAAAATCTGGCCTGCTCAGCCCAGCAGAGGAGACATGACCTGTTCAAGATAACTCAAACAGAATGTCTTCTGCAAAGCATTCTGTGCAGGTACAGTTTCCTTCCAACTCAGGGACCCATTAGGACCATTGAGTTCAACTCCTGGCATTGCCCAGGACCCCCCCAAGAATCACACCATGTGCCTTAAAGCATTGTTCAAATGCTTCTTATACTCAGGCAGGTTTGGTGCTGGGGTAAGTATTTAAACTGCTAAATATGTCCATTATCAACCTAGTAACAAATACCATGTCTGGTAACATGAATGCTCCTAGGTCGAGGCCTCTGACTAAATCAGTGTTTTTTCCAACTTAATACTTGCAGATAAACAATTTCACCAATGATCATTAGTGAAATCAGATGTGGCAGAAAACAGGTTCACACCATGAAGCGATTTATGTCAATGCATGAAAGGGATCTCTCTTTTACATATATATGTATATGAAACAATAAATATAACTTACTGTTAAGCCTTTCAAAAGCTTGCACATCAAGAGAATCGATATATTAGCTGTCCTGGGACATGGGACTGTATCAGTTCATCACTGTGTGTCTCTAAAGCCTCACAATTCCCTGCAGACCTTTCTTGAAGCTGCATAGCTTCTCGCAGACACCTCCTACTGTTCAGCTCCAGTGTTGCTGTTCCAGACAGTAGATACAGAAAAGTGCCTGTGTGGGTAGCAGGAAAGGAAAGTCCCATCTGGATTCTTACATGATCTTTGGTTATAGAACATTCTGCAGTATCCAAACAGTGCAGCGTTAATGGGTAAGGTACATGATGGCTCTACCTGTTCATAGCAGTTTGTTGTACAGCGTTGCTTAGTTTCCTGTCACATAGTGTGTCTTCTTGGAAGTGCCAAAATATTTATGATCAGGGAAAAGACATATTCATATGTAGACAGTGCAACCTAAATTGTACACTTAGATGTTGAATAAATTGCTTGAGCTTACTACTACCCATAATTATATGCCCCCAAACTTTTTGAATTAAAGAATTTAAACTTTTCTCTAAAATGTTTTGCTTCTTGTACCAAAAATACTTAAATAGATTTTGATCTCCTGGTCTTTGTATTTCACATTGTTTCCAAAAATGCCGCAGTGTTTAATTACATATCAACATAATTGCTTAAAGAAAACTGAAATAATAAAAATGCTATTTCCATTTGTAGAAATATTTTGTTTTTCTGACTTGTATGATTTTGTTTATAAATCATACAGTCTTACCACAGTACCTACAGCTGTTGAGGATTCCAAATTCTCTTACACATTGTAGTTCAACTATTTGATTATATTATGGAGTATTAGAGATTGTCTTAGTTTGGAAAGACAGGTGTCTGCTAAGGCAGGAGCCTCCCCTGAAATGAGACCCCCATGTAAACCCCCATCCCTCTGAATTGCCATAAATTTTAAATTAAGGGGATTTCAGGCAAAAATATGGGAGCAGGAATAACAGTTCTTTATTAGGGAAGAAAATAAAAAAGATAAAATAAACAATGCAGTAAATCGAAACAACGCTGACACCCTGTTGGGCAGGGTACTGGTAGCAGTCCGGTTGTGGGATGCTGTAGTTCTTATCAGTCATGCAGTGACATTCATAACATTCATAACATGCCTGTTATCAGCAGATGTCTCCCTGGAGGGAGGAGTGGTTGTGGAAGAGATAAGGAAAACTGCCCACTTAACAGAAGACAGCTGCCATACAGATGGCAAATAGAATACAATTTGCTTGTCAATCCAGGACAGAGATCTGTTAAATATGAGGAATATTGAGATTAATTAAATATTTTTAATTTCTAGACAGGCTCAGAAGAAGGATCTGTTTCATCGTCTTAGCAATGGCAATCAGAATTTAATGTGTCTTTTACTGAAAGAGGGCCCTCAGAAAGTTTCTTATTACTTCTCAATCCCACATGCAGTGTAGACTAACAGGATATACACATGGATATTGAATTGAGCAAATAAGCTTTGTTTCTTCCTGAAGTGTCGAACCATTTTAATACATCTTTGTTTACTGTAGTTCAGAGATAACACGGGTAAGAGTAAGACATCTGGACTTTGTTATGAATCATAAATATAATGAATTGTCTAAGTAAGTAGATATGTAGTAAGTAGATATGTATAGTAGTTTATGGTGGAAAATAAACTGGTGAAAGGAACCTAGAACTCAGTATAGCACTTTGGAGGTTTCTGTCATGTAAACTGAATAAATGCATAAGAGATTAGATTACGTATGACAGTCTGCTGTTCTTTTCAGCAGAAAGTTTTTGTTGCGATACTTAAGATACTTTTGTGAATGTCACTTATGCCCCCATTAGGTCAGAGCTGTGTCACAGGTAAATCTTTTTGACTCAGGCTTAATGAATATGCTGTATGCACTACAGATCATAGACTCTGCCTCAGGCTTGATACTGTCTTCAACTTGGATTTCTTTGTTCAAAAGGCAAATTCACTTTATTAATTTTTGACCATTTTCTTCCCTATTTTCTAAATATAAACACAAATTTCTTTTTGCTTACTTGGATTGGGAGATCGATCAGCATCTGTGCTATGCTTAGGTTTTGCAGTCAAAATTTATATTCTGCAATATAAATTTTGCAGAATTTATATTCTGTAAATTCTGTCATGCTATTTTAGCATCTTTGTATTAGCCTGTGAATTGTAAGGTTTTAGTGCATGGAAGGAAAATATGTGTGAAAACACAACTAGCTGTAGACTGCCATAAGGAGAAAATGAGAGCTCTTTACAATGGTGCCTTAACTATGTTGTGGACCTAGGAGCATATGTCAGCTCCAGGAATTAGTGAGTGTCTTGGCCCATAGCTGTACTTTGAAGACATAATGAGTCAGCAAGCAACAGAATCTGTGAGATCAGTTTTCCATGGGAAATTCAATGGAGCCTTTCAAGGTAATGGTGTTCAGTGAGAGGCATGTGGGAAATGCAGTGAAGTTTATGTAACATGTTTTTCTCAGTTCTTAAGGATAAGGGATCCTGATCAGAGCTGCTTTTATGTTAATTAAATAAAAAATAGAGAAGCATATGACTGAGATGAGAACTGTCCAAGGGTAGATTGAATAACTTCTGTCCTAAAGTTTACTATTGCTGTTTAGGTAAGGAAGAAGGAGATATTCTTGGTATGGGTTACTCCTGTTGATTTTAGTTCATCTTTTGTACTTGCTTTTTTTAGTATTTGACATTTTCTATGTTCCAACACATTTAATTGCATATGTGTTCTGAGTTTTCTGCTGCCCTTGTTATCTTCTTACTAATATATGATTTACTCCATTTTTGTCTTATTTGCTTATTTTAAAAAGAAGCCTTTCATTGAAAAGGTGCTGTTTTGTTTTGACATATGGCTGAGTAGAGGGAGCTCCAGGCTTGCATATATGCAGTAAAAATTGTGTGTTTTGTTTCATATAATTTACTCTCCCAGTGTGTCTGACTTTATGAAAGTATGTTTCTTACAAAAGAAAGGTGTAGAGGTTTTATTTTTTTTTCTTGTGTTTTCTGTTTACTTACATGGAAATATGTGTGGTTTCTTCTTTTTACCATAAAATATTATAATTCTAAAAATTAAGCACAAGGGGGAGCTAGTAATAAATTGTGCCTGCATCCTTATTTTCCTGCTATTTCACTAATTTATTTATGTTATTCTTCCAGTAATGTCACATGGTGCATCTGAGCTGATGTGTGTGAAGGGTGTGTGTGTTTCAAAACAATTGGTGTGTTTTCTCTTCTGGTTATTGATCTAAAGTCTGCAGCATTTAAAGTGATTACTGAAGTACTTAAATTTTAGCACTGCTTGCCAGTGTGCAATTCATTTGATTCAACTAAAATTCAGATGAAAGTTACTCTGATTTTATCTACCATTTCAATTATTGCAAGCATCTTAAAATAAGCCAAGAAATGTTAGTGTAAAAAATCTAGTTTACCTTGCTGACCAGTGTTTTAAAAGATCATCTACAATAGATGTAGACCTAGTAATTTCTGGCATTATTCTGAGTGAACTTGTCATGAATGGAAGATGGGGGAAATTTCCAAAGTGTCCATGAGAAATCCTTGGTCAGTGAAAAATCTCTGTGAAGGAATAGTCAGTGCCAGCTGATTTCCCTTAGATTAAAAAATGTTTGTTGCACATTGCTGATCATGCATTGTAAGCAGAGATTTGTGAGTTTATTTAGTGTGTGGTGGGGTTGCTGTGTAATAGGTAAAGGTTTAAAATTAACTGCTCCAACAGTGAATCAAGTGTTGCTATAGGAGCTTTATTTACTGGAAGAATGTCACAAAAGTTTGACTTTTATGTTGTTGATATGTGAGCCTGCATACTGCTACTGAACACATGTTGGGGGGTGTTTTTAGGATTCTTGAGTTGCCATTGTCTTTAATGAGTTGCTTTGTTTTCCAAGGAACTAGACAGATGTCAGAGTGTGTGCATCATGTGCAGAGTTGGTGACTATACGAGGAATATGTCAAACTCTTAGCTCTTGTAACTAAAACCATTGGACAGAGGTTGCATTTACACTGTTTCCAATCTTCTTCTTGCAGCTAATGTCAGACAGCACTGTTCTTGTAACTGCTTTCTCCTAAGGTGCAAGGAAAGTAAGAGAACATCTTTGGTGATTTGTTTTGCTGCACACGTTGTCAAATGTGTAGTTTTTTTCTGCTTAACATACAAGATTTTTTTGTTTGCTTGCATCCTTTCTTTATAGAACACTGTTATTATTGCAATGAATTAATAACTGCTTGAAGAAAAATCCCTGCCTTGCTTAGCTTCAGTATAATTTAACAGAAGCATATTCATTTTCTTCATTAACTTGTCACCAAACCTTATTGTCCTGAGTCTGTCTCTGAATATGCTCTGTGTTCCTAGTTTGTGACAGAGTTGTATTTTTGGTATTAAAGAGTAGTCTAAATGCATGGATCATTGGTTAATTTGTAGTTTGATTTCAACATTTAAAATACTTTAATAGTAGTAGTAATAGCAAGGGCAGGTGTAATCGTCCTCTCTTTTGCAGTGTGAGCAGGATTTGAAAACCAGCGATTAAGATGTCAATGTACTCTTTGTTGATAATGTGAGGTAGACAGTTGGGAATGGTTGTCACCAAACCTTATTGTCCTGAGTCTGTCTCTGAATATGCTCTGTGTTCCTAGTTTGTGACAGAGTTGTATTTTTGGTATTAAAGAGTAGTCTAAATGCATGGATCATTGGTTAATTTGTAGTTTGATTTCAACATTTAAAATACTTTAATAGTAGTAGTAATAGCAAGGGCAGGTGTAATCGTCCTCTCTTTTGCAGTGTGAGCAGGATTTGAAAACCAGCGATTAAGATGTCAGTGTACTCTTTGTTAATGTGAGGTAGACAGTTGGGAATGCGTGATGTCAAGATCTGTTTCACTGGGTTGGTAGATATAAATACATGTCTGTAGAAGCAGGACTTTTATCCACAAAGAGTGGAGGTGAATGGGGTTACATCCATGGTGTCTGGTCAGCAGTGGTGTTCCCCAGAGCTCAGTGTTGGGGCCAGGCCTCTTTAATATCCTTATCAGTGATCTGGATGACAGGTTCGAGTGTTCCCTCAGTCAGTTTGAAGATGACTTTGTGCTGGCTGGAAATGTTGATCTGCTGAAGGGATTCAGGCAGGCTGGAGGGAGGGATGGGCCAAGGTCAGTTGTAGGAGGTTTGACAGGGCCAAATGCCAGGCCCTGCCCTTGGGTCACAGTAGTCCCTGCAGTGCTCCAGGCTGGGGCAGAGTGGCTGGAAAGCTGCCCAGTGGAAAAGGACCTGGGGGTGCTGGTTGACCCCCAGTGTCTGAGCATAAGCCAGCTGTGCCCAGGCATCCAGGAAAGCCAATGGCTTAGATCAGCAATAGTGAAGCCAGTGACTGTCCTGCTGTACTGGGCACTGGTGAGGCCATGCCTCAAATCCTGTGTCCAGTTTTGGGCTCCTCACTACTAGAAAGACACTGATGGTGTGGAGCAAGACCAGAGAAAGGCAGTGGAGCTGGTGAAGGGGCTGGAGCACAAGTCTTACAAGGAGTGATGGCTGAGAGAGCTGGGAGTGTTTAACCTGGAAAGAAGAAGGACTGGGAGGACCTTACCTTTCTCTACAGCTGTGTGAAAGGAGATTATAGAGATGCTTCAATCTCTTCTCCCGAGAAAGAAGAAATAGGACAAGAGGAAACAGCCTCAATTTGTGCCAAGGGAAGTTTAGACTGGATGTTAAAAAAAATTCACTGAAAGGATTGTCGGACATTGGAGTGGGTTGCCCAGGGAAGTGGTGGAGTCACCATGCCTAAAAACGTCTAGATGTGTCACTCAGGGACTTGGGTTAGAGCTGGATTTGGCAGTGCTGGCTTACCTCTTTGATTTATTCATCTTTAGGTTTCCAGCCTAAACAGTTCTGTGATCTGTGTCAGATCTATGCCTGGGCCTAGGCAGTTTGAAATCTGGTCAAATACCAAGGTGGGGTTCATAAATCATGTGGAACAGAATCAAAATGAGGTGTTTGTCTTCCATATTGCTTCTTTAGGATGTTTGACTTAAGAATTAAATAAAAGATTGCTGTTTGCATACAGTGACAGCTTAGTAAGTAATATTAAATACACATTGTGACAAAATGGCCTTGAAACATACAAAACTGATTAAAATTTCCAACAAGTTGCAATTTATTTTCATGCCATTAATAAAAGATAAATAATTTTTTTTCAGAAATTTGTTTTAACTTTGAAGACCCTAAGCTCAATCTTACATTTAACTTCGAGAGATCTTGACATAACCTATGTCTGTAGGAGGTATCCCTTGGCCAAAGAGAGCTGTGTGTACAGCTCTAAGACTGGAGTCTCTGACAGCACTCACCACAAGCACATGGTGATTGGCATTCAGGAACTTCAGGACTGCAAGTACAATCATCATTTCATTATCTGGACTAGCTGGGGACCAGGTACTCTTGGGGTACCAAAGTACAAACATAAATGCCAAGGAATCTGTTTCAGAAACACCCAGAGGAAGGTGATGTACAGGCCATATCTGGCAGGGAGCATCAACGGCTGGAGTGCAGAAGCTGCTTGGATTTTCATGCTTTTATATTCTGGATTCAGAAAGAAATTATTTGCCTATGTGTGAACTGCTGCAAACTTTCCTAAATTTATATGGTAGTATGCCTGACAGGATTAGGACTTGACATTAAGACAGATGCCTTTTTCATCCTGGATTCAGTGGGTCGGTGCTGTACTGCTGCTGGAAGGAGTGATGTTGACAGTTAATAGCAATGTTAACAGTCTGGTTAACTAGGAAATGCCTGCAATGCAGTAATTATTAAAAATAATGATGGAAAAAGCTGGTTTTCTTTGCTTCATAATTTGAGTTCTAATGAAATGGGAAGGAGTACTTTGAATCACAGCTGAGATTATAGTATAGGTTATGTTACTGTTTTTTCAGGATGTATATGTTTTTTAAAACAGTGTGACTTTAAGCAGAATTTTAACCTAAATTGGCTTGTGCATACTGTTTTGCCCTCTACATAGATAACATACTTTTGACATAATGTTAACCACATAATTTCTGTAAATGCCTTTAATGCGTTAAGATCTGACCAGTATTTAATTTCTGTATTTGCATTTCTCAAATGTCACACCTAATGGAACTGCAGAATTTTTGTTAAGATTTACTTTTGGTGCTTTTTTCCCCTCTTCACAGGTATTTGTGGAAACACTGGACAAATGTTTTGAAAATGTCTGTGAGCTGGATTTAATCTTTCATGTAGACAAGGTACTGTGATGACAACCTGTAATATTTTTATCAAGTAACATATTTGGTTCAGCTCCTACTTGTATTAAACTCTGCCTTACTTTCCAGAGAAAGGTAACAAAGGTGGTGAGTAAGAGAGTAGAGAGTAAGTCTTGTGAGGTGTGGCTGAGGGAGCAGGCGGTGTTTGGGCTGGTGAGGAGGAGGCTTGGGGTACCACACTGCTCTCTGCAGCCACCTGAAGGGAGGTTGTTGGTCTCTTCTCCCAAGTAACCATGGGCAGACAAGAGGAGATGGCCTCAAGCTGGCCTGAAAGAGTAGTCAGGCATTGAGGCAGACTGCCTGGGAAACTGATGGGAGACACCGTAACCTGAAGTGTTGAAGAAACAAAGGGACATGGCACTTGGTGCTGTGGTTTAATCAGCATGGTGGTGTTTGGTTAAAGGTTGGACTTTAGGGTCTTGGAGGTCTTTTCCAACCTTACTGATTCCTTGATTCTGTTAGTTAATTATCAGTGAAATGTAAACTGTTTCTGCTAAAATATTACTTCTACTACATGAAAGCTGCCATGGAACATGCCTTTCTGAGGAGCAACAAAATAATACAGGAGATTTGCATAATAATATTGCACATCAAATTGTAGAATCTAAGATATCTGAATATTCTTAGGGTGGAAAGAGCTTTAAGAAATAATGTCTTCTATTTTGTTTATGGTTAGGTTTTATATAACTCAGAACTGAAGCTGTTAAGCGTTTTTCAGTTAGGACTGGAAGGTGTATTTCATATGCTATGATTATGTAATTTAAATGCTGTGTGGATCTTTCCATTTAAAATTTCCAACGGACTTTGTCTTTCTTCAAACATTTAGAAACAATGTTGTTTGAATATTCCCAGCTATAAGAAACAAGTGTTGTACTAACTTACTTGGTTTAGAGAAATGCTTTTACTATAGTCACCTTTCATTTAAAAGGACTTGGGCATTTTTTGGTGTAATACCCAAAATGCTGAGAATTTAATATACAGAATTTATTCCTTCAGTTGCATTTTGTGCCTACTGTTGCTTTCTGTGCAGTCGCCTTTCCCCATCTGTGAATATCTTTCTGCATCAACAGCAAAAGATGTCAAAGGAAAGTAAGATAGAAAAAGCAGACTGGAAATAATACCAAGTTAGGTATCTGAAAGAACTATTTCAAAATCAGTTTGTTTCAAAATCAGGAAGTTCTTTTGGAAGAAACACTTGCACCTTGACCAGACAGTGAAATGCAGATTACCTAGAGTGAGTGTTTAACCAATACTTAGGTCATGAAAAGTCATTAAGTTTTCTAGTAATTTCCATTACTGGAACATGTTGGATATTTCCAAATGACAGATTAAAGTACAAAAGAGTTTGAGTGTTTATATATTGGCTTCTGAGCTTAAAGAATGAAAGTACTGCAGTCATTCTGTGGGAAGGAGTTTGGTCTTTGACTGAGATGTACTCCAAGTTGTTGCTCTGTAGCATGTTTCATCACAGACTATTGAATAACATAACTTCATAGACAAAACATTTCTAATAATATGTAGAGAGCTTAGGGGTTTCAAAATGTTAAATTTCTTGAAGAATATTTTACTTTGTATTGACTATGAGGTAATATTTCTTCTTGAATATTACATATCAAATGGACACTAGAATTTAACTGTTTCATCTGATTTACTAAAAATCTGCCTGAGAATCCCATTAAATATTTAGACTAGAATTTTCAAACTCTTAAGGAAAATGGGAACCCTAAATACTAGTTAGATACTTTAGTAAAAATAATACAGTTTCACAATAAAAGTCAGTGAAGCCTTGAGTTAAAAAGCTCTGAGCGTGACATTAACCAGTGCAGTGATTTTTACTTGAGTGTAAATGAACAAAAGAATTCAATGTAGAGACATGAACTTCTGCAGTAAGGCAAGGCTGCCACCAACTGTACAATAACATTAGTTGGGCAGCTGTGACTAATTTAATGTCATCTCCATTCTTCCTTTTTTTTTCCCCTCCAGTTTAAGTTCATCAGTATTTTTATAGGTCAGAGAACAAACAGGAAGATGTATCTGTGAGAATTAAAGTGTTTAATTGTCTTTAAACGGCTTCAATTTGTCAAGAAGCATAATGCACTGAGCCTTCAGAGTAAATACATTCACTTTCTCTTTCTTGTTAATATATTTCAAGTGTGCAAAAGGGAAAAACAGCAGCAGTTCCTGTTTGATCTTGACAGTCTTAGTCATAATGGGTGCTTATGTGTGGATGCTGTTTGGGGTGAAAAAAAATACAAAATATTTGTATTTTGAGTGGTCTGATATTAAGAAGAGTGAGGATTGGCTAAGTTATTTGAATGAGAGTTGTTCTGTGTCTTCAGTTCTTGATGGAGCTGTGGCATGTTGCTTTCTTGCAATTCTCTTGTGACAGCTGCCCAAACCAACATTTTTTCTTGTAAAACATAAGGTGGCATGTAGAAGAGTTAAACTATGTAATCTCAACAGCTGTTGTGTCCTTAGTAAGATTTTATGTGGTATTTCTGTAAGGAAATACTTATGCTCATCAGGTTTTTATAATTGTACAGGACTCAGCAGTGACTTAGCGTAACCTGGAGCCAAGACAGATGCTTATTCAAGAATATTGATAAGAGTATGATAAATTCATTTGGAGAATGGAATATAGGTGGGAATTAGTGTTTCTAATGTGCTGTAAGAGATGAGGACTTGGGGTGTTGGGGAGTGTTGTTCATACAGAAGAGAATTTAACTTCTCTTCATCTCTATTACAAGCAGCCAAAAAACTTGCTATAGGTGGAGCAAGACATTTTCACATGTCTTGTGAGGAAGAGGGGCAGGTTCATTTCAGTCCTGCACTCATTCCCACCCTGAGTCCAAGAGCCTAATGCTTTCTGATGGAAAAGGCATCACTGAAAGTTGTTATACAACTAAAATAATAGAATACATTCTGCTAGGGATGTAAGGGAATACTCTCTTTCACTAGTTTTTGGCACCTATTGAAATATCACTGGGAGTATCATGATCTCTTGCAAGAACTTATTATCTAACCAGATGAGTGAACCATCCAGAATCAAATTTCTTGAAGACAAGAAAATGTGTTTGCCAAATTTTCCTGGGAGAGTTTTTTTCTCAATAAGCTCTTTCTTCTTTAGAATATGCATTAATGCTTTTAGGGAGTGCATTGAACATAAGTAGGAAGCACTCTTGATTTTTGTAAAAACACTTTAAAATTGTTATTGCAAAACAGCCGTTTCAAATTTTAAAAAGTTGATGTTCTCAACAGTCTGATCCCTTCTGGAATATAAAATGTCTGTTTGTTGTGCCTTCAGTCTTCCACTTAAATACTATTTTGAATACAATATTGAAGTCTCTTTTGCACTTCATTGCCACTTAATGCATTTTTATTTAAGATTTTTTTTGTTGTTGCTGTTTCTTTATGAAAATAATTAGTGTTTTTTAAATAAGAAAAGCTAGAGACCAGAACGTGTATTTGTACGTGCAATATGTAATTGCAATGGATTTTAATTTGAAAATAAAAAACAGTTGCTGTTTATTTTTATCTTGCTGCTTCTTACATATGAGCAACCATTTAAGAGGAAGGAGTCAACGGATTATGCTAGTTATGTAACTTTATTAGTCAAAGCTGTGATTTCCTTTTATATGGAGATTGCCAAATATAATTAATTAAATGTTGTTATTTAGAAAGCCATCCCTTTAGTAGAAAAGTGGGGTAAGACAAAATAGTCAAGCTTCTATAAGGCCATCTATGCTTTAAACATTCTTATAACACTGTGTGCTAGACTTCAGTATTGCACTCTGAAAGTAGGAAAAAATGCAGAGAAAAGTAAGAATCATAACCCAAGCTATGGGGTGTTTGCAGTTTGCATTGAGTAAGAAGTTAAATATTCTAGAGACTGGAGGCAAAGGAGTAAGAAGTATACAGAAAGAAAGGTTTTGGAAGGGCACAAAGGGGCCTGAAGAAGGGCTGTTTACAGCTTAGGTAGATACATGAACTATACATTTGTTCAGAAATACACTTAAAAGTATCAGGGAAACAAACTCAATTTTGGTTTTTAGGTATGCCACAAAAGGAAGGACTGTGTTGGTTTTTGATGTACTACCTCCCGGTTATTTGAATTAGAGATTTACTTCTATCCTTGATCCATAGGGAAACTGGGAGAATGTCCGAAATAGTACTTAGAATTTTGCTTTTGAGATACCAGATTGTACATGTTTATTTCTGAAAAGTAGAAAAATACTCATTGTCTTCAGATTTAAATACTAATATAGGATTAAAATATTATGCATTATGTGGTAACCCTGGATTTTTACAAGTAAGTGTGCAGAAGGATGCCTTTTAAAAAAGAAAAAAACCCAAACTAAGTCTTTAGTATGATTTGAATGCAGACTCTGAAGCAGTGATTCATGAACCAGGTCTTTCATCCTCAAGTCAGGGCTGCAGGGAAGAGAGATATTCAGATGTATCCATTTCAGTAATGTCCCCAGCTGGTTTATGTGCTCCTGCAGTTTGAGTCCTAGCTGTCAGTCTTAGCTGTAGATACTGAAGACTTTATATTTATCAGTTGTCTCAGGAATGTCAGTTCTACTTCTGAGCCAAATCTTGGGATCTGTGATGTGTGAGCATCAGAGTCTCTTCCTTCTCAAGTGTGGCCCAGAGGAGTGTTTACACATCTACTTGTGAGCAATTTGTTTAGTCTTGTAGGATCTGCTTCCTAGAGGTGTTATGGCTGTTGTTGCTGACTCAAACTCTAATAATTTATGGAAAATGGGAACAAAGAAAGAGGAATGTGAAAGTTTCTTAGCATTGTGAGGTGGTATAGTAGATGTGTTTGTAAGAGGCGTGAACATGGAGATAGGAATATGAAATTATGATCTTTGTTTCCAACTGGCTTTAGATTAAATGCTAACATTAATTAAGTGACTTACAGAATACATGTTTCCCTGTGTTGAGGTACCTAGACCATCTTTCCAGATTGTATGTAGGATATTTTGCATTTTTAAATTCTCTTTTGATCTCTTTTAGGTCCATAATATATTGGCTGAAATGGTCATGGGTGGAATGGTTTTGGAGACCAATATGAATGAAATTGTTACTCAGATTGATGCTCAAAATAAACTGGAGAAATCTGAGGTAAGAGTGATGCACTGTGTGGTTTCTAAACTAAAAGCAGGGTTGTAGTAAATGGCCTGCTGTATAATGCTCTTCGTCCTTCATAGCAAACTAAATAGCATAAGCTGCCTGCTTTTAGTGCCAACAATTTGCAGTGTATGTCAGGGTGTTGTACCTTTCATCATAAGTAATAAACTGCTGCTGGTTAGATTTTGCTTTTTGTATCTAATCGCATTTTGCATCATTGCTATTAAGATAGTTCTGTAGTGCTCTTAAGTTTCTGTTGTAGAAAACCTTTAGTTCCAGCCTACTTGTTATGCTGGACTAGTGACTTCAGCACTTAAATGAAATTAGTTAAAGAAACAAAGTGTGTCTTCAAAGACTATATATTCCTGTCTGATAGTATGCTTCTAAGCATCTGAAATAAATAGCAGCAGTAATGCTGCAACACAAGGAAATAAATTGGACTGAAGTGGATTAGATAGACTTTAAAGCCCAGTTTTAGACACTTCAAAGTAAATATGAATTCTGCAATTTTGATAATCTGATGTTTTGATCTTCAGTGAGTGAGAAAATTATATTCTGTATTTGTCCATAATGGGCTAAGTGAGGGAACACACAAGAGTTTTGGGAATCCTTTTTCAATTCAAGTTGTTTAATTTGTGTTTAGGAAAGACATTTAGATTAAGAAAGGATCTTAGAATTACTTTATCTTTGATACAGAATATTACTGTCCCTTTAACGTCACCATATGTGCCTTGTAAGCCAAAATGCTGCTAATGTATCTTTGCTAAGTCTGTGCTGGATTCTAAATGGTGGGAGTAATTCCACCAAGGAATACATCAAAGCAATAATAACCAAGTTTCTAAACAAGCCGTTGCTTGAATTGAAGACTTTCTGAAGTTGAAGTCAGCTGAGCAGACTGAAATCTTCCAGGTGACATAAATATGAACTAAATGGCATTTTAGGAGAGGACCCAGAGAACTTCCTAGTTCTAACTGAAGTGCAATAAAGAGAAAAATGAATTTTTCAGTTTTTTTTTTGTGGTACAATCTATGCTGTTCTTATTCTGCAGTCTCAAGCTGTGCCACCTCAAGTTTTTTTAATACATTTAATTTTTTGTTTTGCACAACTTCCAAACCATATCCATGAACCGGTCAACAGTATGTGAAAAACAAGAAAAAGCTAGGTATGATGTGACACAATACATAGCAATATGTGTCTGAAAGGATTCTGTAGTAGATTTTGAACACGTACAAAGTGTTCATTTTAATGTTTTTGTCACACTCAGAATGAAACACTGATCACAGAGATGAATATTTGGAGTTATTCTCATAATTTTTTATTATATTTTAATAAGTTCTGTATATATAAGCTTTTCCTTATATGATAAAAAATAGTCATGTTCCCAAAAGCTGAAGTTGCTCAGCAGTTGTGTTCTACCATGTATTGTGTGCATATTGGTTCTATCTGCAAGTATTTAATTTTGTAAATTATGTTACCAAATCAACTGTAGACCAATCTCTGACTAGTCTTCTGAAACACATAGTCAGTGCAGCCAGCTGCAATACTTGCTGTCTTCCATTATTCATCAACAAGTCATTCTTTCTTTTAAGAGCTTTTAGTATAAAAGTAGATGGTACATTACCTGAAGAAAAACCCACACAGAACGTGAAATATATACAAAGGAAAAGGAACTTGCTTCTTTACATTCAGCAATGAATTATAGAAGGTAAAGAAGTAGCAGTGATGAATTAAAACACTTGGTGACGGGGATGAAGCAGAATATTTCACAGTCTGCTCACACAAATACTTTCTTTTTCCTTAGTGCAGTGACTATTTCTTTTCAAATTTAACAGTTGCTGTAATGCTGAGATACATCACATACCTGATAATTATTTCCTTAGATCATTAATAATTTGTTTCATGTATATCCACAGAAAATTCCTGATTGCTATTTCTTTTCCTTTTGTCTTTTTGATCAAGATTATAAATTTTTGAGTATGTCTTTCCTGAACACACATTTTCAAGACACAAGCAAATCCATCTAAATAAAAATAAGTAATAGCTTAATAAATTTTGAATGCTGGTCACTAAGAAATCACAACGAGTGAATCTTCTTCATTTTCTTTCATTAAAAAAAAATTAGAAATTAATATTGATGTAGTCCATAGTTTATAGGAGCGCCACCAGTGCCCCACATCACTGCTGCTTTAGTCCCTTTGGCTTTTAGACCACCATCATACCTCTTGCATTTACAAAGCAGCTATTTTAAGGTTAAATAGCCTTTTCTTTTATAGCTGAAATGATGAAACTAATAAAGCTGTGACTGGGTTACATTTTCAGAAATACTTCAATTTTTATTGTGCCCATCTGGCTTTCAGTAATATACAGAATTTAGCTATTTAACGTCAGGTATTTGTTTAGTAATGCACTAGTTTACTAAACCTAAACTAGGTTACTAAACTAAATTCTACCTTTCAGCTAGAATTAAATGAAAAAGACTGAATGTATTTATTAAATTTACATATATTTGAGCAAAGTTATCAGCTTGAGGAATTTATGAACATTTTCAACAGAGATTAATTAAACCACTATAGGGGAGTCCTTAGCTTTGATTTGTGATTCAGCTAATATTGTTTGGAAGGGCTACAAAAGAAACTGTTTGTACCTGAGAAATGTTGACTTATATGCATTTCCCTGCCTTTCAGTTTAGGGTTAATCTGTGAATGGGTTTCTGGTTGATCCTAAAGCCAAAGAATCATTGTGATAAAGGGAGGGAATTCTTTGGGAGAGGGGGTCATTGGGATTTTATTCTGAGCTTCTGGAAGTATTGTAGGTAAAGCTGGGCTACCTCTTCTCTATTTGGAGTGTTCAACTGCGTGTGATTTAGAGTTTTAAGCTGGGCCTCATTTTTTCTGAACCTCCTGATCTTTTCTGGCTCTTTCCATTCTTCTCTCTTACAGACCTTTATCTTTCAGTCTCCCAGACAGGACAGGTAGACAAAGGTATTGCTGACTTTTAGAAAAAAATGTACTTTTAACAAAAAGGGAAAGCAAAATGATGTCAAAGGCAATAAATTATGTAGGCCAGACTCAAAAATTATGTGTAAAAATACCCATACTAGTCCTTGTAGCCTACTTTTTGTGCTAGTTTCTTGTAGTTCCCTCATCTTTTTATTGGCTATAGTGTATTTTACTAGCTTTTCATTGACATCATACTTTTTTATTTTATTTCTCTTCCTGCATTTTAGAATTTAACTTTTCTTTGTATCATTGTTAAGAAACAAAGGAATATGAACTTGTGTGAATATTAGCCAAAAAATCATCCAAAAGTACTATCAATAAAAAATGAACACATAGATAACAAAAAAGATATGATGGCATAATACAAATAACTCCTTTGTTGGGAGAATTTTGTCCCTGATAATCTAAAAGAAACAATACAAACTATTTTGCTTCACCATTTAGTATTTCCAGATAAAAACAAAGAACTTTTCCCTGCTTGCTAAGAGAAGTTTCAGAATAAGCTTCAGATGAATGAAACATGAAAAATCCCACCATCAAAACCAGCAAGCTGAAATAGTTCTGTATAAAGAGAGTAAAATTATCAGTGCAATTTGTAAAGATGATGTAAAAATTCCAAAGTTCATCATCCAGCTTTAAGGATGTTGAACATAAAATGAGAAGGGCTGTCAGCATGTACTCAACTTTAGATGTACATTTGCTGTTATTATAATCTGAATGTCCATATTTTGCTCTAAGATATCTTGGTAACTGTAGTCCCTGAACATGAACATGAATGTTAGCAAAGAACAGAAAAAGGAATTTTGTGTTTGAAGTTCAGTTTATGGTCAATGTCACCTGCCATTTGTTGTTTGAAACATTTAGTTTAGCTCAACAGTTTGAATGCCAGTCAGTGTTAATGGCAGTACTTGAAAATTAATTTCCACTTGTTTTAAGTCTCTGTGTATTCAAACTGCAGGTATTTTAAACAGGTGGAATCTTAAGCAATTGAAACTTACTTAATTTATTAATAGCTTTGCTCTATCCTTTTTATGTGATCTTCCTAGGGTAGTGTACTGCAATACCATTAAGATTTAACGAATTTGATTTAGTAGCACTGACTTATAAAAGCATTAGCTAAAAATAATTCTTGGTAACATGCAACATTTTAACCTAAATTTGAAGTATGCTACAGCACATGAAGAAAATCCAGGATGTGACCTTCCTCTGCCTAATATGTTCACTAACACTTGTAACATACAGTCTGTATTTCATTGGTAACACTAGGGAGCTTGATCTCAGATTTTTGGTTTGGTTTCTTTTTTGTTTTTGTTTTTCTTTTTGTGCAAAGCTACTTTTCTTTTTCTGTGTTCTGCTCACACATATTCTGTTTTTATTTTTGGGTCTGGCAATGAAAAACAAACAAAGAAATAATTAATCATTCCCATCCATTACTCTTTTTGTGATTCAAGTGCTTAAAATTTCTAAGAGTATGTCTTAAGTCTTCTTATCTGTTTGGCCTCATTTTGATATACTTGCAGACTTCATTTTGGTTTTTCTCTAATTACGTTCATTTATTTAACCTCATGAGCAGGGGACATGATCATTCCTTTATATTATGTATCACATCCTTTCATGATTTCATATCCCTGCTGCTTTGAAGTCATACTTGTTCTGAAAAGAAGCATTGCTATGAAACACCAGCAGCAGAGAGGTCCTAGTACCTCTGAAGTATCTGGAAAAGGGTGGCTTATTTTGCAGTGTTAGCCTTCATTATTTTGTTTTCCACTAGGCTGTGTTTTTTATATATTTATTTTAGTGCTAGCTAGCTCTGTGTAGAGTTGTTTGGGGTGACAGTTGGAACATTTTTATTTGTATATGCATATTAACAATGTTTGTGATGTGCAATACTTTACCCAAATGATCTGAATTTCTTTTTAAAGAGTAAAACAAGGTTGCTGGGATGACTTTGATATAAAGTTACCAGTTGGGCATTCTAAGAAAGGGTGATGATAAGAACAAAGAGAATTGATTCCTATAGTGATTAATAATGACCTAAGTAAATTAATGACAGCTTATGTTTCTCACACGATAGATTAGGACCAGTAGAGTAAAAATTCTGTTATTAAATGTGTCTGTTTCAATCTGTGAAATAGTGTCCTTTTTTGCATATATGGTACTGCTCTTTAAAAGTACATGAACGTGTTTGCAAGCATTTTTTTTGCAGTAATGGAACCTAAAATTTTAATATACAGCATTCCAACATTAAAGCACATCCTTCAACAGCAAATAAAATTGAGAGTACGAAGGAGCTGCAGCAAAACGATGTTGTATTGGCTTATTGTTATACCAGCTCTATACAATTCATATTGTCTTTCTGAAATTGTATTAATTGTGTCTTAAGAAATTTCAGTTTCACTTGCTCCAGTCATTTGCTTGCTGTGACAGACAACTCATCATTCTCACTGCATGTTTAAAGCTTGCTACATGTTTTGTTTTTTCAAGTGGAACAGTTTTTTCTTTGCACGTCACCAACTTACCTGCTGAATTACATGATAAAAAGGGCAGGTGGAACTTGTTGAGTTCAGTGTTACAGTGGAAGCTGTATGCCTCAAAAGTACACGGGGCTGAAGGTACTTACTTGTACCTTTGTGTTTTTAAATACAGTTCACTTCCAGTAAAAGAAATTGAAGGGCTGTGTACTAGTTCACTGCCTGACATGCTGAAAAGGAGTACTAAGGAGTTCAAATATAATAGCATTTGAATTGTAGTCGTTATCCAGCTTGGGAGTTCAAGTGTTTTTCAGTTATTTTATCCATTAGACATTTTTTATGAGCTGTTTGCTCTCTCGTAGAAATGCTGTGTAAGTGTGTTATGCTTGATAGGGTGGACATTAATTGTGCTAAATAGCATTCTGCTGTGCATTTTATGTATCCACTGTTCTACAAACTCCCTTAATACAGAGAATTCCAGGAGAAGAGAATGTAATAGTTGAAATCTCTACTCCAGCATCTGGTAGTGAAAGATAATCTCGTTGTGAAAAAAGAGGTAATCTGACAATCTGTAAAAAAAGAGGTAATCTGACAATCAGTTTGTAATCTGACAGTTTTGTCAGGGATCTTCACTGATCTTGATCCAGAATGGTCCTCATGAAATCTGACTGTTGGAAGTTGTGACTGTATAGCGGGGTGGAGGGGCAGTGGTTGTGTCAATTGTGGTATTTTTAATAATTCTCAATTGTGTCTCCATTGTATCCTATGCATTGGGGCGGGAGGCAGGGACTGTAAGTTTGTATAAAGAGGATAGTAGCAGGTAGGTAAAAATAATAACCAGTTATACTAAAAATGTTATTTGTCCATTAAGAATAAATAACTTCCATTAAATTAGGGTGAAGAATCTCCATCCAAGTCACACAGAAGGCACCTCCTTTGAATTGCCAGCCATGTGCCAGCATGTCATTATTTGTTATATTTTTGATTCCCCGTTGTTTCAGTTGTAGTCTGCATAATTCATTGTTTTTAATTGGTATTTTCATCTTCTCTGTGGAAAACAGTTTACATTGCCCCATTTTGCTTAATGAATTTTTCTTCCATTACTGCAAGTAGAATTTGAAGGATTAAAAGCTTTTACTATTTTATCCAATAAGACTTCACTGGAAGTTACCTCTTGATTGAAAATTGGTATTTCCAAGTTCTCAGTTATAACAGGACAGTGTTGGGCATCTTCATGCCTTCTGCACTGTTTTTTAATAAACAGAAAGAAATTGCAATTTCTAATACTGCTCCTCTAACTTATAGCAGATTCAGGGGTATTAGCAAATTTTAGAAACTTGCATTTCTTAATACTGCTAGTGTTAGGTCCAGATTTTCCCCTTTAGGAAAATACTGCTGTTGAAAGTGCCTCTGAAGCGAATGACCTGATAGATTTGGTGATGTTAAGGAAAATGAAGGAAAAAGAGGGTTTCAAAATACTTTTTTGCACCTTTTGACTTTTACTTAGTCTGTACTTCTGAGAACTGATAATTTGGTTTATGTCAGGGCCAAAGTGAGAGCAAATTTCATCACATCAGAGATGCAGTTTTCTGAGCTGTCTTCTCTGCCTGACATGTTTTTCCCAACTTTGCCATGCCTCACATAGGAGGGTTTGACAGGGAAGATATTGTTAATAGATGACTTACAGCTTTCTGATCTCTGTTTTTTCTTCTGGGAATCATCCCATTACTAAAATCTACGGATTTATGATGCTTTAGCCTTTCCACATGAAGTGTTAGTTCAAAATTGGAAACTTCAATCAATTTTATTTTAACTTCGGTTATGTTTTTAAGGGGAAAAGGCAAAACAGCATGTAGGATTTTAAGTGAAAATCTTATGTTGACTTGACTTTCTTACAAGAGAGTAGTAAAAGGGAGAAAAAGTGTTTTTTGTAGCCTTCAAAAAGTAGAGTTGTTACCTGATGAGTGTGTGGAGCGTCTGCCTCCTTTTGTGCCATTGACCCAGTGGACTCTATGGAAGTCAGGTGTACTTCTCAGTAATTTTACCCTGCACTTGCAATGAATTTTAGTGAAAACCAAGAATCTGAAATTGGGTGGTAGTCATGTACCAACGCTTTTTAATAATCAAATTTGACACAACCTTCTTGAAGTTTCTTTTATTTTGCTGTATTTCTTGTTCAGAAATACTTTGTATCTAAATGGACTGGTTTTTTCAGTCTTTGACAACCCTAAAATTAAATACCTTCAATTTCTCCAGGTTTAGTCTTTTTTAAAACAAATTCCTAACATCTTGCTTTGTTTCTTGTGGATTGCTCCTTTTTACTGGACCTGTAAGATGCCACACTATAAAACCAGTAAATCATATTGCGATTTTTATTGTTTTTGAATATTTTTAATCTTACTTTTAAAGCATTAAAATTAAAGTTAATTCTTTTTACATATTCGGAGAATTTGTAATATGGTATCTTTTTCTGCTAATAAGACCTCTTCTTTTAAAAATTTCCCATGCTTTTTTACTTCCTTGGAAAAATAAAAATTATTTGTACACTTTTGTGGCAAACCTGAAGTAAAACCACACTGCAAATTTTAAATCTGCATAGGGAATCTGAACTTTTAGGAGAAACATTTCCATACCTAAAATGAATAGTATGGTTTTTTTGCAACATCAAATATAGTAGTAACACCAGTCTTGTTTTAATAGTCCTTAAAATAACAAGGTTTTGAATAGGTGTTTTCAGAACCAGTAGGGAAAGATGATTTTTGGTGTGTCTTCAGGCTTCTGAGCTGTAAATTGTTAACATTTCATAATATACCCCAGTGTGCAAACTTGACAGCTTTAAAAGCATAACTAAATGGAAGTCAGCAATTCTCTATTGTAAAACTTGCATGTTTATACAGAAAGGCTCTAGTTTTGCATGCAAAGACACTGCATGCGGTAGAGAACTTCAATAAAAAATAGATGCTATTTAATAGTTTAATTTGGCATAACTGTGTTGTTGTGTAATGCTCAAGGGGATGCAGATATGTTAGTGTATCATTAGCTACTGTGGGAAACAGGTTATTCTAGTTTGGCTGTAGAAATAATCTGTCTGCATGCTCTTCATCAGCCACAAATGCAGGGTGTTTATCCTTTTCATCTTAGTCTAAACTACCTTGAAATACCTCTGTGTGTACATATATATGTATTTTTGTATGTGTGTATATATATATATATATACACACACGTGTGTGTGTGTTTGTTCTTTGATTTAACTGACATTCAGCCCCTTGTTACTTTGAGGTTACTTATTCTGAATCTGTAACCAGTGCTAGTTAAGTGTGAACCACGTGAACTTTTAGAATAGGTAAGAGGCAAAGGCAGCACACTGGACACCCAACACCTCAAGACTGTCTGTTCTGTAACGTGCACATTACACGTGCTTGGATAAGCCTCCTGTTCCTTCCTCTCATACTTTTCCATCCAGTTGACATTACACGTTTTACCATATAAACAGGAATATGTGAACTGTTTTCTCTTTCTGGTTTAATATTTCCAAGTAACCCATTTCATTCCCAACACAATTACCATGTGGTTTTTCTAATTGTGTAACCATGGAAATACTTGAAAAGTTAGTTGTCTGTGTAGATTGCTGGTGAACCTTCTTGTGACTGACTTTGCCTGATTTGCATTTTTCCTCACTTTATATACAGGCTGGTTTAGCAGGAGCTCCAGCCCGGGCTGTTTCAGCTGTAAAGAATATGAATCTGCCAGAGATCCCAAGAAATATTAATATTGGTGACATCAGTATAAAAGTACCAAACCTGCCCACTTTTAAATAACATGGCTACTCCAGGTAATACCAAGGAAGAAATGTAATAGAGATTTACTGCATAATTGTTTACTAAATAAACATGTCTAACTTTTATTGTTTGGATAAAACTCAAGGTCCTGCATAGACATAACCTGAAAAATCAGTGTGTGGAGTTGAATGTTGCTTTTGTCTTGTTTGTGAAATTTAAGGAAAGGGGTAGTTCCCATGTGATTTCTAAATTACATTCCTATGCCCTTGCAAGGCATATCACTGTGTCTCAGCTGCTGCAGTATTTTGGGGAAATATTTAAGATGTTCTTTACTTTGTATAACCTATAATGCTGAGGTTTTTTGTATATTCACCAAAATCTATAATTAGTGCGTTCTTTAACTACTTCTGTTTGTCATGATTATTTAAGACTTAAGTACAAATGTTGCATGAAAACATTTAACTCATGTTTTGTTAAATAAAATCATAACAAGCTGGACTTCGAAATACCTGTTTTTTGAAGTCTGCTGTTTGCAATAAACCACGTTATTTCCTATTCATGGAGCCAATTGATTATGTATTGACAAATACTGTTGTAGCAGACATTGATGTTGTAGTTTAATCTCTGAAGGGCTTACACAGGGGTATTATGCTGAACATATTGGCTCGTTACATTTCTCACAAAAGCTGTTCATTATGCTGAAAGAAAAACTGCCTTTACCGAAGATCTGATGATTTTTGTTTACATACACATGTTGATATGTACACAATCTGGTAGACTTTCACTGATGGTCTGACTTTGTTTTGGGGAAAAATAGGCAGCCCTGTGAATGCTCTGTGTTGTGAGAAGCACAGAATGGGCTGAAGACCTTATATTTGGGCAGCTCAAACCTGTACATGAGAGTCTATCAAATAATGTGGTAAAGAAAGGCACTCTGGAAAGACAATTGGGGATACTTTAATAGGGCCTCTGTGCCTGGTGACATTTGTGATTCTCTGCTTTGAGAGAGACACATAGTATTGTGAAGATCTCAGAGATCTATCACCTCTGCGTAAGTTGCTCAGCTCTTAAACTCTTCTGTGATTTAAAAAACATAAAAGGGGGATAGTGATTGTTTTTTATAATCATGCTCTTAAGCTCTGTGTGTTGTACAAGTCTGTTTTAATGAATAATAAAAATATCATTGGGATATTTAAGAATTCCTGCAAAGCCTTTTTTTTCTCTTCAAAGAAGTATATAGTTGATACAGTATATGAAAATGCAATAATCCTGTATCAAGAACAACAGATTTCAGGGCTAGTCTGAGAGGTCCTGTCTTAAATTCAGGAGTTTGGATTTGATGTAAACTAAGTGTTATTTTCCTTTCAGTTGAATATTAAGACGTAGTCTATAGGATGAGCTTTGAAGCACATCATGTTTTCTGTTTGATCAACAGTAGCTAACATCTTTTGAGAGCATTTTAGAGAGAAAAGAAAAAGAGAAATTACTTCTGAGGTAGAAAATCTGATATGACCAATGAATTTTAATCTATTTCTTAAGGTGGGGGTGGGGAGAGAACAACAACTTCATGTATATTCTTGGTATTACATTGGTAAACACCAACTAACATACACCATTTTAAAAATGCTTTTGAAAACAGAGTTGCTCTCTCCCAGCCTCTCAAAAAGAATATTTCTTCTTCCAAGTGAACTCCTTAGTTTGAGACTTCCAGGAATTTCAGATGGGGTTTAAGTAATTAACTGCTTCTTTGTCATTTTGACCAAAGAAATTGAGAGATTAAAATATGCGGCCATTTTTTATCCCCTATGTGAGATACTCTTCAGTGTTCCAAAGCTGGACATCTTAGCTAGCACAAAACTGAAACTCACCATTTCACCTGCTTTTGCCTACTTTTGTTTATCTTCTTAATGCGTGGCACATGTGACATTGAAAGTAAAGATGTTGAAAGCTTTCCTCATTGTTGCCCCTGTTATGATATGGTTAATTCTCCTGCCAGAGGAGGAATAGGATGTTTTGAAACATTTGGTACTCTGACCTACAGAATGTTTGTTCTTTGGGCTATTTGTTAAAGCACTCAAAATTTCAAAAATTCTTTGGAATCCTCTATTTTTGTCTCACTGTCTTCCCTCTAGTTCTTTTTCAGATTTGTAAACTTGTGTAGTTAAAAAAAATTTCATTCTTTGCAGAGAAATATTTTCTGTCTTTATTTGGATGAAACACCCAAAAGAAAGTGTGTCTGAGATGCGTCTTGACATGAAGCATATTTCAGATTAACTTCTTACCTGTCAATAGCCAGCCTGTCTTTCATTTCAGTGAACTACGTTCACTAGGTTCTTTGCTTTTAACAAGTACATGGCCGTTCTAAAATCTTTTGGTTTAGCTTTGTGGGTTTTACAACTGTTGTCTGTGCTGCTTTGTTCTGACCTGATGTGTCTTCTGCCAAAAGACTTTTTCTCTGGACAGCTGTTCTACTGACACCAGGCTTTTCATGAAACCTCTCTGTGACTAGCCAGCAAATATTTAATGTGAGGCTGTAGCTCAGAGCTGGGGCTTCCTTATTCAGAAGATCTTAAGATGGGAAGAAACACTTTATCAGATTTTTTACAGTGAAATTGCACTCCTTTCAAAGCGAAATTCTCATCCATAGAAGAGCCTCAATGGTAGCACTTTCCCCTCAAATAAATACTGATGCTATGACCATGTTGGCTTCCTCCGGGTAGCTGAGCCTGTCTGCTTGCCACCCCTTTGCCAGAGGAGTATCTTTACTTTGCCTGGGGAGGTCCTGTCCTCTTACGTTGTGGTTGGACACTGCTGGGAAGAAATAGAAATTTGCTTAATAGAAATTATGGAAATAGTATTTTTTCCCTTTATCTTCTAAGGCTTGCCTTATGTCATATTCAGATATTCATAGGTTTGCCACAATATTGATCTGCTTTTTTTCTTCACCTTCATGAGAATGATGTGCCTTTTGAATTCTTTCTGCTATTTCATCAGTTTCCTCTCAGCCACTGCTTAGGATTTAAAATGGAAACAAAATGTGGGATCTAAATGTTTAAGATCTTGATTATGAATTTAAATGTTTTTAATGCTTCTGTAACAGCAAACCCCACCCTTAGCAAATATAGGTGTTTGTGTGTGGATATTTATATGTTTATATGTTTATGTCTATATAACATCAGTCTTTTGTACATTGTTAAGAAGGAGAAAAGGTCATCTTCAGTCATCCGTCATCTGCAGGAGACAGGGAATTAATTTGCCATTCTCCAAATCCGTAGGGCCCGCCTTTAATGATATTGTTAAGGGCACTAGCACGTGTAAATGAACCACTGAAAGCCATTTTTACTAACTCCAGGCCTCTCTTAGGACTGCAAAATGGATTCTTCTGAACAAATAGAAAGGATAATATTTCAATAGGGTAAGTGGGCATTATCATCTGCCTCCACAGACTTGGAACAGAGCAGTTAGTTTTCCACTGGGGTAGGGGCAGTAAGTACTGCTGAAAAAACATCTGGCTCTTCTTTTGTTAAAAGGTAAGTATCTCATGTTAGCAGAGAATGCTGCCTGTGGTATCGGCAGCACAGACAGTACACATGCTGTGACATTGTGTTCCTCTCTCCTCCCATGACACCACTGTTTTGAATATATTATGGGGAAAAGGAAAAATTTTGCATTACAAGCGTATATAGAATGCCTTCTCTTTAACAGCTGTTGCTGCTGAGATTCATTCCGCTTGACATGGGTCAGTGGAGGAAAGTGTCATTTGTTGTAAGGAGAAACAGGTTCAAGCCAAAAATTCAAATTGGTGCTGCCTTCCTGTGAGCACATTCGACCTTTTCTTTCTAGCAGCACGTTCCAATAAATGCTAAAATTAGTCTTGAGTTTTACTTAGGCCTATGATAGTCAAATGAGAACTTGCTAAAGTTCTGAAGGTAACCTCATAAAACTCCTTGATACAAAATTACAGCATATGCATGGCATACTGAAGGAATTGTCTGCTTATAACTGTTAAAGAAGGTCTTGCAGAAAATATATATCTCAACTTCTGCACAGAGTATTTGTAACTTTTAGGAAGAACAAGGAAAGCAACCAAGTACTGCCAAAACCTGACTAAAGGTGAACAATTAATTTCACAAAAAGTACTGTTTTGTTATTTGCTGCTAACAGTTGCCATAACAAATTATAAATCTTTTTCCATTGAGGGAAATGATCTGTCCTTGCGATTTTTAGTGTTCTGTGATTACCCCAAAATACTCGGTTAGTGCTTTCATTCTATGGGCAAGAACACAAAGGTAGTCACTCTGCAGTGTTATTTTGGCAGCCAGATCTCTTGTGTGCTGGTTTTAGTCTTGTGGCCTACACTTGTAGGAGTGGCGTGTGACCTGAGAGCAGCCACAGGTCAAGACACCCTCTCTTTGCACAGAGCAAGTATGCCTGTGACTGGAATCCTAGGGACATTGGAGTTGATCCAGCATCCATCCCAGGAGACTGACTGACAGGCACGCTTGTGTGACATATTCCACTGCTCTCCTGCCCAGCTGGGCTCTTCTGAGACTCAGCAGCCCTCACAGACTTTGGGTGTCCTTTCTGTGCTGGCTCTGCTGTACAACCAGCTCAAAAGGCTGCTGGAGGTAATGCATCTCCAGATTCTTTCTGAACATGACTATAAGCTTGTTACCAGAGCTGCTTGTAAACACAAGCCTGTAACCACAGCTGTGAGTTGCTTAGATAGACACCTCTCTGTAGTCTCTGTGTTTTTTGTTAGCTTTCACAGATAAATCCATAGACCTTCTTCTCATAAGATTGTTTGGACTCAGCCAGCAGAGTTGCTGTAGTATATTAGTCGAATGTCGCAGGTTGGGATGTGTGCTAGGTGACTGCATGACCTGTGTGCATGGTAGGATACCTCTGTGATCAGCACTCTCTCTGCACCTGAGAAACTTCACTGGTGTAGCCACAGTGTGTGGCACCCACATCTTCCCCTTTAAAGGGCCATCTGACCAAGTTTGGCCGAGCAGTCTGCAGAAGAAAAAATCAAAACTGAAATGACTGTGCATTTGAAGTAGGTCATTGCAATGATTTGCTCTGCTGATATATGTCAGAGCAGAAAAAGTCTTTCATAGTTCAAACAGCCATCCTATTCCTGAGTGAGGTGCTCTTTCATGTGAGAACTCTTTGGGTCATAGGACAGAACTCATAATTCTTTTCCTTTTCCTTTTCCTTTTCCTTTTCCTTTTCCTTTTCCTTTTCCTTTTCCTTTTCCTTTTCCTTTTCCTTTTCCTTTTCCTTTTCCTTTTCCTTTTCCTTTTCCTTTTCCTTTTCCCTTTCCTTTCCTTGAGACAGTGTGACGTATCATGTGTCATTGCTTGCCTGCCTCTCATACAAAGTCTGTTTGCACAGGGAGGGCTGTCTGTGTCTGCCTATCTTTTTTGTGTTTTCAGGACAGGTACTCCAGCCAGGTCAAGCAGGGCTGCTGTTCCTCTTCAATGTGTTGAGCAGTCATTCAAGATGTGATTGTGCTGGCAACATGTAAAACATAAATTCGAACTGAGAGACAGTGTGTTGAGATTACATGTTAGGAAGCCATTGTTTACTGGCTGGGAGGTGAGGCAGTAAAAGGGGTTGCCCATGGAAGTTGTGGATGCCCCACCCCTGTACATGTGTAATGCCAAGATTGAAGGAGCTCTGAGCAACCTGGTTTAGTAAGGTTTGTCCCTGTCCGTGGCAGGGGGGTTGGAACTACGTGACGTTTAATGTTCAGTCCCACCTGTTCAGTGATTTTATGAATATGTTTCTGTATGGAACTATGTAAATACAGACATCTGCATCCTGGCTGAGGTTTCCCTTGCTACTTTAAAATCAAGGGCAGGTAAAAGTTGGTTAGAGACAAGCCCTTCTATGGACCTTCCTGCTGGGACCATAGTGCAGGCAAAGGAGGGAGAATGAAAGTTAGTATGAAAGCCTCTTGCCAGAGGGTAACTTGAGTCTGCACTATAGAACTGATGGTCTGAGGAAGCCTTATGAGGTGTTGCAGTTGTCCTGGGGGCTGTGTGGCTACACAGAAGGCCTAATCCAAGTCTTCAGCAGGAGGTGCTGTCAGGAGAAGATCTGTGGAAAACAATTGGCAGGTAGGAGCAGAGAGAGTATTTTACAATTTAAAGTCACACAGGAAATCGGAAGGAAGGTAAGAAATAGTGCT